TATAGTTTTTAATGAATTAAATTAAATTAAACATATCTAGTTCCTTTAGTAACTAGTAAATGGTAACGTAAAGAATAAACCCTTTCAAATAGCAGTATTTAATATGATGAAATTTATTTAATATTAAAATTATTTCCAAGGATGATTGGTTTTTCAGTGAGTAAATAATTCCTTTTTACAAATTGATTTATTAATTTAAAAAATAATCAAATTGGTACAGGCTGCTCAAAAAATGGCTCACTAATTCAACGGCATATTATTAAGTTTAAGCCAAATAACAAATTTCCTTACATCAATTTGACGTTAACTTACAAAAACAAAATATCTACTTAGATTCGTAGTTCAAAAAAGGTAAAAAATTATCCACTGCCGTTAAATACATTCTGAACTATTTTTAAACATTTTGTAATATTATTAACGAAAAAAAAAGGATGGATAAAGGTGTCCTCAACATTATTTTCAGTAATAAAAGTTAGACTGATTTTTTTTCCCAGCTGTAAGTAGTGAATTAAAATATGGTGAAATATTAAAAAGAGTAATCAAGTTTTGGGGGTATATCTACAATGTTTGGGTCTAAGGATTTTTACTTATTTTTTCTCTGCTCAGTAAACAACGTGTCATATAGTGTGCCATTTTTTGAACACTTTGTATATACAAATTACTTCGTATTAAGCTTTAAAATTATTTTTTTATAGCGTAGATGAGATTTTTTGTTTTAAAAAAATGCTTTTCTAATGAAATTTATTTAACAATATTTTGAGATGACGTCATTCATTTTTAAAAGGGGTGTATAAATTTAATAAATTTCGAAAACAAAGAAACAACAAAAAACCAAATGTAAAATCATTTTCGCATTCTACACAGTAAAATGAATTCTTTCCTCTGAAAGTAGCAGCTAAATACGTAACACAATTTTTTTGTGGAAATTTTACTCCAACAAAATTTACAAAAAATTGGTTCCAAGCCACATTGATTTGTTATTATTTTGTAAGTGAATTAATATTCTGCACACAGTTTTTTCATTCATTACTTAATGTTATTAAAGTATGGACAGCACGGTCTGCAAAAATTTGGAAGCGTAGAAGTGATTTTATTTGTTAATGACTCAAAATTTCAATAAGTGCCATTAGTTGTATTTTATCGATCAAAGTTGTAATGTTTAGTGTAGATATTGTCAAAATAAAATGCCTTTGTTAATAGTGATTAAGAAAAGTACTATAATAATAAAATTGTACCCACCTCAACGAAATATCATCTTTTGCATTAAATATAAAGCGATTTAATTATTCTATAGGAAATGCACCTTCACTTGAGAATAAAATACACTAACAATTTGACAAACATTTGAAAATGATCAGCACACTTGAACGATGTTAACCAAAAACGTACTAAGCGCCAAATCGCAAAAAATGAGTTAAACATCCTAACAGTCAGAATTTAATGTCGAAAACTAATTTGTAAAAATCCTTTATTTGTCTTAATTATTTTTATACCACCCTACACCGAAAGATATAACAGAACTGACTCTGTGGTCTGACTCTTGTGGGCGTCGAAATAGTAATATAAAAACTGTATTCATGCTAAAATCAATTTTATAGCAACATTCTAATTAACAAACGATTTATTTTAAATTTTTTGTTTCGGAACATAGTTTTTTACCAAATGACAAAGATTTTGGAGTCATTAACTATATACGCCACAAGATTACGCCAATATTATGTTAAAGTGTAGAAAGAAAAATTCACTTATTGTTTTGTTTATGCAGAAAGAACATTTTTGTAGTGAAGCCGATTTAGAGTCTAGTGTCACAAATAGAAGATACACATGAACAAAAAATTAGATCCTTGAAAACAAGAGTGATTAAACTTACTAAAGATAAACCGCTTTCTAATTTTATGACAAGTATAGGAAAATGAGATCTACAATGAAGTTTTGATGCATAAAAGAAAAATACTTCTAAAAATTTTGGAAAATTGTCTACATTATGGCCCAGTGGAAAAGCAATATCGCGTAAAAAGTTGGCAGATCTAAAAACATTATGTCCTTTTATTCCCGAGGATGCAACTCTTTTACAAAAACTTACGGGGAATAAACCGTTAATTTTATGTGGAGGGTTTTTCAGATGATATCGATTTCGAATTAGGGGAAACAAATTAAACTTAATCATTTTTGTTATTGTTTCATGGCAAATGTTCCTTTTTGTAGTAGGTCGTTAAATTAATATAAATATATATAAAATTTTTCAAAAAATTACTTAGTGCCTTTTTACGGAATAATAAATTTAAAATCATGGTTTTCTCAAAAAAGAACCAAGCGCCAAAATGCTTCTTTTAAAACTGTAAAGGACTGGGTGTTTTTGATGCCATTAACAAAATAGACTACATTCATAAAGTCATGTACTCTTAAGATAAAAATTTTATTCCGACATTAACATAAATTTTTAGTTTTTAATGAAAGTTTATTCTAGTATTACTCAAATTGCAATTTTCTCGCTTAGTACGTTTTTGGTTAACGTGGTCCACTTTTATTTAGGGAAAATGGATGAATAAAAAATATAACTGGGTATAGTCAGAACTTTATTTTTGTATCTAGGACAACTTGATGAAGTGGTTGGACGCCATAATAGCAGGGTCGATTCTAAAATATACACACAGAAATTTTGAAAGTACATGCTACAGCTTTATTTCGAGTCTATTTACACAGTTGTTACAGTCTTTAACTTCATAGATAGTAAAGTCCTTGTAGGTACAAAAATAACACTCTGAGAAGATATGCTTTTTAGATTATATTATTCTCTATTTTTTGATATTTATGCAACACATGTCAAAAATTAATCGTTATTAAATTATTATTATTATCGTTTTTTAGTGAAATTATAACATTTTATTCAGTTGAATTACTGTGCTATATACTTTTTCTACTCTATGATGCGATAACCAAGAAAACAAGAAAGTATAAAAAAAGTTATAATCACCAAAAGGTTTATTTTAACATTAAATAACACATAACTTACGTTTTGTAGAAGGTTTCAGATTATATTACATTATCTTAGAATTCGAAAACAATTGTTCTTATTATAGGCAAACCTAATTCAGTTCAGGATGTCCTTACGGTCCTATGCATGGTTTCTTTTTTTGTAACTAATAGAGACAATATCATTATTCCCTGTAATAAATGTCATTTGAAAAATAATTTTATTGTAGACAGGTTTTTCGGTTAATAAGTCATAAAAAAAGAAACGTGGATTTGTTTTTCAAAAAGCGGAGAAGTATTCTGAAAAAAAGTATTAGAAAAGCGGCTTTTATTAACATAATACTGTTTTGTATGAAAAATTACTCATGTGGGTTTAAAAATTTTAAGGCATTTTAAACTAGGATCAGTTCCTAATATGCTATTTACACCATATTCTATATTTTTAAAATTTATATTACCTGTAAAAGAAAAAAAAAAAAACGCTAGAAAACTATAAATCTGATTAGATTTTTAAATATTTTTTGTACAAACAAAGCAAATACCTATTTAATAATTGTGTACAGAATAATTTGATTTGCTGAAGATTAGTTTGTAATTTTTTTCTTAAATAATGATTAAACAACTTATTATAAGTAAAATGTACATACTTTTGGAACGTTTAGGAACTACATATTTAAAAAGTTGTACATACCTATAATGTCAAATCTATCAAAGGAGCACTCCGTATAGCTGAAAATATTTTCAGACTGTTGACCTAAATATAGAAACTGTAATGTAGCTGTAATATAAATCTTAATTATTATGATCTGGAAAAGAGGAAGCACATTTTTTATTAAATTTTCACATTTTTGCGACAACCATTACCTACTTTTAAGCCACATAGTAAACGCTTATTCCAAACTTTGAATAAAATAAAAATCTTTATTGCGAAACCAAACAAGTATGCTCAATAACATGTTTTGAATGCGGATTTTTAAATCAACTTCCTTCAGAATGATAGTTAAATAATTTCCCCTATAAAACAGCAAATTACACGTCACTGTGCTTTTATTACATGACTGGAGTATTTTCAGTTCAAGGATTACCTTATCATAGGTAGTTAATTTTGCTATCCATACATGTCATTGAAGCGCAATTGATAAATTTCCTTTCATCTATTATTCAACAATGCAGTTTTTGCTTTATATTTGTTCAGAAATTACAGGCTAAAGCTTTAGAAATATAAATTTATTCTAATGGGTTAAAATACACGTTAAAATGTAATTTTACGAACCTTGAACAGCAGTGTATTAGCAACCAGTTGATATCACAAGCATTCATTCTTTGTTCTCTGTAGTAGAGTACCAAGTGTGTTTCAAATTATTTTTGCCAACGTTGACGGAATATAACTATCATAACTCACCCAAGGTAAGTACAATTAAAAATGTGTAATTTAAATAGACTTATTTAATCATAATCTACTTTATAAAAAATGTGTAGTTGTTTCAAACTCAGAACACAAAGAAGACTAACTAACATTAAATTAAAATATTATATTTAGGTAAAGAAACTGAATAAATAAATTACAGACTGCGTTAATTACCACTGATCTACTTTTACTCATGAAATTTTTATTTTCAGTATCGTCCCCTTCGTTTAAATACTCCTGACATGCATTTGGACAAATTTAGGTTGCAGTTGTATTTTCCCACAACGATAAGAAAAATAGAGTAAGAGCAGATAACCCCTAATTAGGAAGATTAATTGATGAGTTTGTATATTTTGGACTTAAGTTTCGAATAAATTTTTAACTTTTCACCCTTTTCCAGGACCTATAATTTAGAGGAGATATTTCTAATTCATTAAACTGGAATTCTTGGAGACTTAATATTGGATGTGGTAAGCTGGGACAGTCACTTGATTACAAGACGTTACCAAACGAGGTATAAATAATCTGAAATTTTACTTCCAGCGGATATCAAACATAAATAATTGGCACAATTTAGGTAAACACATTTGTTTTAGGTGATTATTTTGACAAAAGAAAAATGGAAAAGCTTGTCTGGAAAGACTCCCTGAAAATTAATCTTTTCGTTTTACGATTACTGGGGTTGTGGCCTAGAGGTGACAAAGTGTACACGTTTGATCTCTACACTGTATATGCAGTTTTTGTAATCACTTGTTTTCTAAGTGCTCACACTTTATCTCAAGTCCTAAACATCTTCGTTGTTTACTCCGACTTGCAAAACTTATCAGAAACCATATTTATCACCGTCACGAATGTGTTAAATTTAGTCAAAATTTACTATTTCATCAAAAACACAAAAACTCTGAAACAGCTAATTGAAATTTTGAGAAGCGACATGTTTCAAGCTACTCCTTTACAAATAAAAATTGTTCAACCCGATTTGATATTTTTGAAAAATGTCACCTTGGTGTTAGCCGGTACAGTTGGTTCTTGTTTGACATTTTGGTGTTCTTTTCCACTACTGGACAGTTCAAGCAGAGGAAACCGACTACCATTTTTGAGTTGGTATCCTTTCGATACGACGACATCACCTGGGTATGAGTTAACTTACTTACACCAAGTTATCAGTATTTGGGCTCTTGCCGCCAGTAATTTAAATCTGGATACTCTAATTTCGGGTCTCATGATGCTTATTGGGGCTCAGTGTGATATTTTATGTGATAATTTAAGAAACATCAAAGCCGAACGTTTCAGCCAGGAGTTCGTTAAGTGCATTCTACACCACAAAGCTATATTAAAGTACCAAAAAGCACCAATTTCTGCAGTTTTTACAATTTTTGGTTTCAGATTTTCAGAAAAATCCAACGAGTTTTTCAACATGATTGCATTTGGACAATTTTTTACAAGCGCAGCTTGTATAGCAATGACTTTGTTTAGACTCACAGTTGTAAGTGTGTTAAATGTCGTTTGAATTGTACTTGTAAAATTATGTTTCAGGTGTCGCCAATGAGTAGCGAATTTTCGTCTCTTACATTTTATCTGGGTGCAGCCATTCAAGAAATTTTCCTATATTGTTGGTTTGGAAACGAAATCGAAATTAAAGTATAGTACAAGGATTTGTGACAATCTCTAGTTTTTTTTTTTTTTTATAGAGTAGCCAAATTGGTTATGCTGTGTTTGAGTCGGATTGGACTGCAGCCTCGCTTAGCGCTCAGAAAAGTATGGTCATTTTTGTTCTGAGGTGTCAAAAACCTATTAAAATGTCTGCGTTTAAACTTGTTTATCTCACATTAGAAACTTATGTGGCGGTGAGTACTCTTTTCATTTTTGTAACTCAGTTTTTGTGTAATACTGTTCCAGATTTTGAGAGCATCGTGGTCGTATTTTGCAGTGTTAAATAAAATTAATACTCCTGAATAGATGAAAAAATTCTTTTGGAATTAACAGTATATTGTTTAAACCACCAACTTTGTATCAAATTGAAAATGGAAGGAAGGCCAAGTGCATGATTTGGGCGAAATGTTGAAAAAAAAATTAGTTTATTATCAAAAATAGAAATTGTTGTTTATTTTCTCTCGTTTCTCCACTAAATTTATCGCGTAAAAATTTGACGATTTTACCTAAAATTTTTGCTAGTAAATGAGTTAAATTTTGTGTTGTAGCCTGCTCCTTTATCTTTAGTGTAGTAGTGCGTATTTTACCTTACACATGCCGGTTATTGTAACAATAATAAATTTGTCGAAATAAGCATTATAATTTTTCATAAAATTTTATCCAATTACTAATAATTACAGAACGTCAATTAAAACGTATTTGTTATCCTCTCTAGGAATGTGATGACGTCATAATCACAATTTTCTGTTCATGAAATCTTGACACATGAGGAATAATAGCATCCCTCTTCATTTTTTATTCAGAGTTATTTTAGTATTTATCTAAGTAACTGGACTTTAAAAATTCGGTTGGGTATCAATTTGTTCAGTGAATATAAAAACTGTTAACAAACCAATTGAATCAGCTCAGAAGGATATTTTGATAAATAAATATTCAAATAAAAATGTTGGTTTTTGGTTTCCTTTTTCTCTTTCTCGTCGAATGTAGATTTTATTATATAATTATGTTTTTCAGCTTAACTGGACTGTAACACACATATGGAGATTAATTATTGTTTATTATTAATTTATATTTTATCTACTAATAAATAAATAAATACCTGTTATCATTAATTAAAATAAAAGACAAAGTGTCCATTTGTTTCCACTTTCACACTTGTTTTTGGAGAAAATAAAAAAAAATTGTGGTGTCCCGAATTAAAAAAAAGACGCATTTGAAAAATGAAAATATTGTTACGTGGCTTTAATAAATCCTTGCAAAAGAAAAATAAGTTTATTTTTCTGACAAGAGAGTACAATTCATAATCTTATTCAATTCTTTTTTTTTTCATGGATATCTTGTAACAATATAATGCTTCGGAGCAATGTAGGAGATTATTGTGATAAAACAGGTACGTACTACAGTAGGAAAAATTTGACGAATTTATTGCAAAATATGGAAATGTTAGTTGCTCATTTCCGTCTGTATGTCTGATACAGATTTCATATTATTTCTACCAAAGCAAAGAGAAGAGCCGATGAAATTTATTAGACAGATGTATGTTTATTAAAAAAATACGAAAGTCATTTTTGAGATAATTTGCAAAAAAATCGTTTCATCCATTCATTTATTGAGAAAGTAACAGAAACGAAAATGGAAAAATTGGATCGGTTATCATAGTTAACTAAAAAATATGAAATGCATTGATAAACCAAAACTATAGAGTACTAATCACAACATTTTGCATATTTTAAATAGGATTTATTTGGCAAAATTTTGAGATGACGTTATACATATTTTGGGCAGGGATAGACGGATAAATTTTGATTAATCATTTTCAATGCTTACGACTGCAAGGGTTCATAGCATTCAGTTTTGCAGTTTCAAACTTAAATTACAAAAGGTTGCCATACAAGTTTTATTTTTTTTAATCTTAATACCTCGGGTAAAAACATGTACTTATTTCTGAGACACCCTGTATATGTACACGAAATTGCAAGTATACATACAAAATCTGACAACAATCGGTGCAGTGGTTTAGAAGATTATCTATTTAATAAAAATTGCAGACAAACGGACAGACAGACGAATAGACGGAAACGGGCGATCTATTTTTTCGTATGGAAGTAGCCAATCACTCGACGTACAAAGGAAATACTACAATACTTCCTTGGCATTTGGGAAGTAAAAACTAGTTAATTTGTTTGAAAGCTGGTTTGGTTTTCTTCACGATTAGAACATTTTTGATATTTATTAGTTTATTAGATTTAAACAAAATGTGTCAAAATGACTCGAGTTGAACATAAAATGACAATCGACTTAATACTAGTTATCATAATACCAATATTAGTTTAAAAAGCCTAGACATATTTTTCATAAATTTTTATTCAATAATAATAATTTATCGAGATGTTGCTAGCTTTATTGGTAAGAAAAATAAATTTTAGTTAGTGTTCATTCTCTAGGCAACCTGTAGTTTTCTAAGAAATTTCCTGTATAGTGTTTGTGATAAATTTCAAAAGTTGAAAATAAGAATGATTTTTTAGAAAAACTCAAACAATTAAAGTTACAAATTGAGAACACTTTAAAACGGAAATACACAGTAATATAAAATTGAAACCGGGTGCTCAAAAAATGGCGCACTAACTAAACGGAATATTATCAAGTTTATAAGTCTAAGGCAAAAAAAAAGTCTTACGTCAAATTAATGTGAACTTACAAAAACAAAGTATCTACATATTTAGATTCATAGAAGAATGTTTAAATTATTTTTTCTCTGCTCAGTAAATAACGTGTCATATAGTGTGCCATTTTTGAGCACTCTGTATATCTCTATACGAATGCCTTCGTATTAAGTTTTAAAATTAGTTTTTTACGACGTAGATGGGGTGCTTTGTTTTGCAAAAATGCTTCTATAATTAAAAAATCATGGGATGCTTTTCTAATGAAACTTATTTAACGATATTTGGCGATGACGTCATCCATTTTTGAAAGAGAATGAATCTATAAATTTAATAAATTTCGAAAACAAGCGACAAAAAACCAATTGTAAACTCATTTTTGCATCCTACAGAAGTAAAGTGAATTCCTTTGAAAGTACGTAACAATTAAATAGAAGAATTAAATACGTATTTTTTTGTGGAAATTTTACTCCAACAAAATTTACAAAATACATGTTTCCAAGCCACATTAATTTGTCTATTATTTTGTAAATTAATTAATATTGTGCATACAGTTTTTTCAGTGACTACTTAATATTATGAAGGTGTGAGACACCACAATTTGTAAAAATTTGGAAGCGTGGAAGTGATTTTTTTTGTTAATGAATCAAAATTTCAGTAAAAATGCCATCAGTTATATTTTATTGATCTTAGCTGCAATGTTTAGTGCAAATGTTGTCAAAATAAAAAGAAAAATTCTATGATAATAAAATTTTAATTACATCGAGAAAATATCACCTTTTTCGTTAAATATATTCTGTAGAAAATGTACTTTCACCAGAGAATAAAATACATTAATTTCAAAATTATTCGTATAAAATTATAAATATTAAATCGTAGTAATTAATTTACAATTTGACAAATTTAGTTATTCATATTACGCACACATGACTAATTTTATTTATTAAAAATGTATAACTAAATGAATGATATAATTTAGTATAGTCAGAATTTATTTTTGTGTCTAATAAAATTTGATGAAGTGATATATGTAATATATAAAGGGTTGGACGGCACAATAGCAGGGTCAGTGACGATTGTAAAATATACACACAGAAATTTTGTTATAATCTTCAATATAAAATAGTAAAGAGTTTGCAGATACAAAAATAACATTCTGGGAAGATATGCACTTTAAATTATGTTATTTTCTATTTTTTGATATTTATGTAACACATGTCAAAAATTAAACGTCATTGAATTAAAAAAAAATCCATTTTAATAAAATTTCTACTGTATGATGTGATAACCAACAAAAAAAAAAGAAAGCATAAAACAGGTTATAATCACCAAAATGGTTATTTTTACATTAAGTAACAAATAACTTACGTTTTGTAGAAGGTTTCAGAATACATTGCATTATGGAAGAAGTCGAAAATAGTTGTTCTTATATAGGCAAACCTAACTCAGGATGTCCTAACTGTCCTATGTTTTTTATTGTAACTAATAGAGAGAATATTATTATTCCTGTAGTAAATGTCATTTGAAAAATAATTTTATTGTATACTGGGTTTTCAGTTAATAAGTCATAAAAACAGAAACGTTGGCTTGTTTTTCAAAAGACGAAAGTATTCTGAAAAAAAGGCATTAGAAAGACGGCTTTCACAAACATGATCTGTTTTATATGAAGAATGACTCGTGTGGGCCTAAAAATTTTAGGGCATTTTAAACTAGGATTAGTTCCTAACATGCTGTTTATACCACTACTAACTCTTGAATATATCGAAATTCTACTTTAGAAAACAGTTTATATTTAGGAAGTAATCATAAGAAAAGAGACACCCTATATTATCTTACTAGATTTTTAAATATTTTTTTGTGAAAACAAAGCAAATACCCATTTAATATTTGTGTACAGAATAACTTGATTTGCTGACGTTTGTTAGTTTTGTTAATTTTTCCTAAATATAATGATTAAACAACTTATTACAAATAAAATGTAAATATTTTTGAAACGTTTGTGTAGTATTTAAAAAGATGTACATACCTATAATGTGTAATCTATTAAAGGAGCGCCCTGTATAGCTACAAATATTTGCAGATTGTTAACCTAAATATACAAACTGTAGTGTGGCTGTAATGTAAATGTTAATTATTATAATCTGGAAAGGAGGAAGCACATTTTTATTAAATTTTGACTTTATTACCAAAAATATTACCTACTCTTAAGCCACATAGTAAAATCCCAAGTTTAAATAAAACAAAAATCTTTATTGCGAAATCAAACAAATATCCCCAATAGCATGTTTCGAATGCGGATTTTTAAATCAACTTCCTTCAGAATGACAGTTAAATAATTTCCTCTATAAAAGAGCAAATTACACGTCACTGTGCTTTTATTACATGACTGGAGTATTTTCAGTTCAAGGATTACCTTCTCATAGGTAGTTAATTTTGCTATCCATACATGTCATTGAAGCACAATTGATACATTTTCTTTCATCTATTATTCAACGGTGCAATTTTTTTTTTACATTTATTCAGAAATTACAGGCTAAATCTTTAGAAATATAAATTTATTCTAATGGGTTAATGCAATTTTACGAACCTTGAAGTGTAGTGTATTTTAGCAGCCAGTAGATATCAAGAGCATTCAGTGGCAATTCT